CCTACAGGATTATTTTTTCATAGAATCCTAGAATGGCCCAGGCTGGAAGGGACCTTAGAGATCATTTTAATCCAGCTGCCCCTCCGCCAGGGATCTTTTGGTCGGCTCCTCGGCACGGGGAGCAGCTGGCGCTCCCACCCTGCGGGACAGAGCAGGATTCTTTGGCTGTAACACCTCCCAAGATCCCAACACCTTTGCCCCAGCGACTGAGAGATTGGGCTTGAGGCCAAACTGACCCTCCTGCCACACATTAACTGCAAGAAAAATAAAAAAAGTTCGCATGGAGCGGGGTAGGCTAGCGAGAGGCTCTCCTCCGGGAGCTGAAGGTTTAGGGGGGAGGGAGGGCAGCAGAAAAAAAAAAAAAAAAGTAAAAAAATCACCATTTGGGGCTGGTTGGAAAGCAGCTCAGGCTCATACCAATTCCTTGACGCGGTCCTTTCCTTTCTCAAAAATAAACAGGAACCGTCTGGAAAGCCCCTGTGCGGGGAGGAGCAGATTGCCCAGAATAAATAAATACCCGGCGAGAGCCTGGGTTGAGTTCATCCAGCCGGTTGCTCCTCGCTGCCGAGGGTCGTGAAGAATGAGGAACGGAGCTCGAAACCGCTGGGGGTGGGGTGAGAGCACATGAGGCTCTTTCCCCCAATTAATCGGATTTTTGGGAAAGCGCTGAAACAGCCTCCTCGGGCAGGAGCCGCCGGGGTCCTCCCGCAGCGCGGCTGCCCCGAACACCCCCCGCACGATAAACCTTGTCGTTACAAACGGCTTAGGGGATGGAAAAAGCAAGGATCTTGGGTTTCTTTGCAGGTCAAAAAGGGGAGAAACTCCCCATTTCCACTTGTAGGGTTGTCATTTTTAGTGCCTCGGCTGCTTTTGCTGCTGTTTCCCCGCTCATTGGACTCGAAGCCCGGCAAAACGTCTCCGTCTGCCCGGGGCCTCCCCGAGGCTCCACGACCCAGCCCGCTGCTCCCCTTGCAAGCACGGGGAATAAAGGCAGACGCGGAGCCGGAGCGAGCCGAGCTCCGTGCTCCGAAATGTTCTTAAGACGATGAATTAAATATGAATTTTGTTTCAGGCGTAACTTCAAAATCGCCAAGAGACCCGACGCGCTCGTGTTGCATAAATGCTCGGTGTGTTCCTTAACACGATAGTTCGGCTCCCTTGGACACAGGCTTCGGGAGAGGAGGGGACTGAGCGGTTACGCAGCTCGAAAACCAGATCTATCTCTTTTTATTTTGGAAACGTACTTAGATGGTTTTAGCTGACCAAGTTAGCGCTGCAGGTTGTGTTTTCAGCATTGTCTCTGAGCCCACTAGCTCTGCTTTATTAATCTTCCGTGTCCCAACAGCGATATTTTGTGACTGAGAGCTGGCAGGACACAGCTGGGAGGAGCTGGCCGGTTCTTTTATTTGCCGCTCGTCATCTTCGGTTTGAAAATTAAACAGAATCTCTAAAACGGGGGGAAAAAAAATAAAAATCTGTGAGGGCAATAAGGTTTTTTTGGCTATATTGCCCCTGAACCGTCTTGCACTTGGCTTCAGCCTCGCAGCAACACCCGCTGCCCGCTCGACCGCGTAA